ATGGTCAATTTTGGAGAAGCTTCTATGGGGTGCTGAATAGAAAGTTCATTCTTTGGTGCTTTGTTGGAATATTCAGTAGATGTCTGTTAGGTCCATTTGATATATGGTATTGTTTAATTCAGTTGTCTCTGTTAATTCTCTGGCCTGTTTACCTATCTAGTGGTGACAATGGTGTATTGAAGTCCCCTACTATTACTGAGTTGGGGTTAGTCTGTGTCTTATAGTCCTTTAGTGTTGTTTTTATGAATTTGGGTGCACCAGAATTTGGCGCATATATGTTAAGGATTGTAATATCTTCCTGGTTAACTATTCCTTTGATCAGAATGAAGTGATCATTATCTCCTTATCTCTTCTGATTAGTTTTACTTTGAAGTCTATTTTCTCAGATATTAGAATTGCAACCCCTGCTTGTTTCTCAGTGCCATTTGCTTGGAATATTCTTTTCCATCTTTTTACCTTAAGGTAGTGCCTGTCCTTGAAGGTGAGATGGGTTTCTTGCAGACAGCAAAGAGATGGATTTTGTCTCTTAATCCATTTTCTTAGCCTGTGTCTTTTGACTGGGGAGTTCCATTCTATTGATATTTAAGGTTATTATTGAAAGGTGTGTATTGGTTGCCATCATTTTGATTGCGGTTTGTGTTCTTGGTGTAATTTTATGTTTCCTAGATTATATCTTTAGTTTATTTTCTCTCGTTGCCCCTAGGGTATAGTTGTTTCTCTCTCTGCTCTCTGTATTGCTTCAAGTATTCTTTGAAGGGCTGGTTTTATGGACATGTATTCTTTCAGGCTATTTGTGCCATGGAAGATTTTTCTTTCCCCCTCAACTATAGTAGACACTTCTGCTGGGTATAGTATTCTGGGCTGGCATCTATTGTCATGTAGAACTGGAAATAGAAATACCTTGGTCCAGGCTCTTCTGGCTTTCATAGTTTGCATTGATCAGTCAATTGTAATTCTGATGGGGTTTCCTTTGTACGTGACTTGTGTTTTTTAACTGCTTTCACTATTCTCTTTGTTCTGTACATTTAGTGTTTTCACTATGATATGTCATAGGGAGTTTCTTTTCTGATCCTGTCTATTTGGTGTTCTATGTGCTTCCTGTATTTGTATGGGAATGCCTTTCCTTAATTTTGGGAAATTCTCTTCTACAGTCCTGTTTAAGATTTGGTCAACACTATTAAGCTGAAATTCTTCTCCTTCCTCTATTCCTATGATCCATAGATTTGGTCTTTTCATGGTGTCCCACATCTCTTGCATATTTTGTTCCTGTGTTTTTACATTTTTTCCATACTTTGCTTGAGTGGTCCAGTTCTTCAACTTTATCCTCCAGTGTTGATACTCTGTTTTCCATTTCATTTATTCTAGAGGTGAGGCTTTCCCCTGTTGTTTCAAGTTGGCTTACTGAGTTTTGCATGTCGTTCTTCATGTCTGCATGAGTTTTCTTCAATGTTTCTATCTCCGTTGTGAATTCATTGAGAAGTTTATCCCTATCTTCTTTTAGCTCTTTGATTTGTTTGTGTGTTCTTTAAATTCACTGAATTCCTTAATCATGTTTATGATTGTTCTTTTAAATTCAGTGTTCTGGGTTATCTAGGGGGTTCTCCTTGTCAAACTCTTCTACAGGATTGGTGGGGTTTGGTGGGGACATATTTTTTGGGGCTTTCCATTTTATAATTCTTTCATTGTGGTTTTGGCGTGTCAATTTCTTTTGTTGTTTATGATTCTGATATGAGAATTAAGTTGAAATATGCTTCTGTTTGTATTATCTGGGTGCCTAGATCCTTTCTTTATTGGTTATGTAAAGCTGATTGGTACAGGGTTCAGGTTCTCTCAGGTTTATTTTGGAGGGACTGATGGCTTCAGATCAGGGGTACCCACAGAAGCCCAATTCAGGTTCCAGTCAGGCACACTCAAGCTTCCTTCCCAGTGTGGAGGCTGGATCCAGGCTCTCTCAGGCAGTCCTGTGCATTGTCAAGCCTATGCCAGAGGGAGGCCAGAGGGGGGCCAGAACTCAGCACTCTCTGGTGGTCTCCTGAGATTCCCAGCCACTGCATGGATGGAGGTCTGAACCCACCCTCTCAGGCTGTCTGTTAGGACCTCAGCCTTAGCCTACCTATTCCAGATCTGCCCTGGGGCCTTGGGAGGGGCCTCACAAAATCCTAGGTAGGGAGATGGTGTGGCTCAATTAGGGGAAGCTCACCACCACCACGTGGAGGCAGGATCCAGGAGCTGTGGGATAGTCCCCTGGGTTCTCAGGCCCTCAGGTAGTTGGAGGCCAGAGGGAGGCCCAAACCCGGCATTCTCTGGTAGTCTGTTGAGCTCTGAGCTGCTACGCCAATGGAGGTCTGAACCCATCCTCTCAGGCTGTCTGTCTTGAGGATTTTTTTAGAAATCCATTTGGATATTTATCCCAAAAATTTCTTTAAGAGTTCAGAGTATACTTTGAATGATTTCTGTTGTTTTATAATTATTGAAGTCTGTAGAACACAAAGTTGTCTCGTTTTGGAAAATTTTCCATTGCACTGGAGAATGTTGCAGATGAGACCTTGTTATTTTTCATGACTTGTGGAATGGACCCAGCTGGTTGACACTGTTGTTGAAACTACCTCTCTCCTTACTGATTTCTGTTTTTTCTATCATTACTGAGAGAGGAATGCTGAAACCTCCAACAATAACCATGAGTATAATTCTCCCTTCAGGAGCTCCTTTGAGTAACAGAAAATGAGTCAAAAACAAAGCGTTCATTTAGGAATAGTGAGCAGTTGCAATCTGGGATATGTGTACTGCTGTGAACTACAGAGCAATCCAGGGGTTTGCTGTAAGGGGAAACCTTTAAAGGAAAGGAGGAGTCCACATCAACTGTTTGGAAGTAAGCATCTTTGGCTATAGGAGCTGACTACAGAGATTAATTTCTCATAGGTAATCTGGCTGTTACTAGGGAGATTTCTTCTAAACAAATGGCTTATCTGAATTGTTTGCAGTTTGTGAATCCTTGTAGTGGTCCTGTCATAGAAAAAGGTGTATAAGGACACTTCCTTCATGGCTTCCTGACTCCATTTTGTTTGGGTTTGAAATAAAGTGATTCTTTGTTAGCACTGACATCTTCCACAGGTGCACTGGCTTCTGTGGCATTTATTTTGAGCCTAGAGTTTAGGAACATATACATCTCATTAACACACTCAGTATTCCACCTATCTTTTTAGCATGACTTAAGGTGAACCTGCCTTCCTAGGGGTGTTCCTACGACCAAGTGATTGAGCTACAAAAACTGGAAAATTGGGTCTTCATTCAGGCCAGAGATTTTATTCTCTTGACCAGATTTCTCTTAAGGGGCTGTCTGCTACTATAACAAAATCATCTTCTCCAAGGCTTAGTGGAATGGGAAGGAGGAAGACACTCAGTGTCCTGCTTTGTCCTTCATATGAGTACACACAGGTATGAGTACCTGCACACTCATGTGTATGCACCACTCATACACATACACACACACACACACACACACGAGAGAGAGAGAGAGAGAGAGAGAGAGAGAGAGAGAGAGAATCATCTTCAGAGACACAAGATAGACATTTCCATTCCAAGAGGGAAAAATAATGCAAAAGGAAAGGGCCTTAAGTAAGACCGAAAACCTAGACAGACACCATGGCGTAAAACTCCAGAATAACCTTCCTTCCATGTGTTTCTTCCTAGACATACTGAGAGTTGTTGTTAAAGCACTGGGCAGCCTCACCCCGTAGCTGTACTGGATTCAGCTCACACATCAGCTCCCTTGAGTTGGAGTTTAACACTGGTGTCTGTGGTTTTCCGGGTGAGTGCTACCTGCTGCCAGTGGCTCTGGATTCTGAGGTTCTGAGCACAGAAGCCCCACTCCCACAGCTCTGTTGGGCATTGGCCTTGTGGTGACTCTTCTTGGTGATAGGTTTGTACCTGGTACCTCAGGCTTTTTGTAGGAACCTTTGTAATCTGGGTGGATGCGCCACACCCACACTCCTCTTTCATTCTGTATGCCTGCAGAATTAGCATCATGTGACACTGCTGTGGTTCATTGCTTTGGCCACACCTAGGGATGCCTGAGTCTCAGGCTGGAAGAGCCAATGAATGCCACACGGGGATGTGGGGAACAGAATCCCAAGAAGGGCATCAGTCCATGGAAGGCACCCCAAGCCAGTCCTTCTTCAGTTCTGGGACTGTGGTGGCAAAGATCTCAAAGCCCTCCCCAATGCTTTTGGGGCCTTCTTCCCATTGTCCTGCCAAGTAACACTTGGTTCTTTTCTCTTTGTGCTGATTTGTTTAAGATTCTTGGCCGTACTTTTAGTATTCCTGCCAAACGTGCTTTGTCATATGTTTTTGGCGAGGCTGCAGATATTCCAAATTTTTATACTCTGCTTCTCTTTTAATTATAAATTCTGCCTCCAAGTCATCGTTTTCCATTCTCATGTCAGCAGAAGCAGAAGCAGCCATGCAGCAATATGAATGCTTTGCTGTTTGGCAATTTCTTCCACCAGAAATCCTAGTTCATCATTTCTATGGTTCACCATCCACAAAGCCCTGCGACATGGACTCAAAGCTGCCATGCTCTTCACAACTGTGGAACACAGATAGCCATGACTCCAGCTCCCAGTGGGGTGGTCATCACTTCTATCTGAGATCTCATCATATAGGCCTCCACTATCCATATTTCTGTCAGCATTCTGGTCATGATCACTGAAGTAATCTCTAAGAAGTTCGAGACTTTCTGTAGACTTCTTGATTTCTTTTTTTCTTTTAAATATTATTATTATTATTGTGTGTGTGCATATGTATGACATGTGAAAAACTTAATGGAGTTGGTTCTCTCTTTCCAACTTGAGTCTATGGATTGAAGTCTAATTCAGGTTGTCAGGCTTGCATGGCCAACACTTTACCTACAGAGCCATCTTACTAGTCCAAGTCTTCTTGTTTTCTAACCCCTCTCCAGAATCATTCTTTATTTATTTATTTGAGGGGGACCTTTTTTTTTTCTTCAGAATAAGACAGATTGAGTAAAACAATACAAGTTGCTACTTCCCCCAAAAGTGGTGTTTTTACTCTGCCCCTTCTTGAAAGCTCAATGGGTCACCAGCAAAAGGTCTGTTGAGTGCTTTTAAAATGGGGATTTGGGGTCTTTTTGAGACAGGGTCTCCCTGTAGCCCCAGTTGACCTGAAACTTGCAGTGATCTGCCTGCCTCTGCCTCCCAAGTGCTGGGATTAAAGGCATGTGCCACCATACCCAGCTCAGAATCTCTTAACACTGTAGGACTGGTTCTTTCTTGCCTGTGCCTCCAACTCCTCTAACTTTTGCCCATTATTCATTTCCTAGTCACTTCTAAATTTCCATGTATTTTTGCAGCAAAAGTCTCATTCTCAGTTCCAGTTTCCTACCCTACTACATTCTTTGTGGCTATACCAAAATACCTAAGACACAGTAATTTATAGCCAACAGAGGCTTATTTGGGTTGGTGATTCTAGGGCAGAGAAGCCTCAGGGCACAGCACTGATGAGGTCCTTGTACCATCCCAGCTCAGAGAAGATAGCAAAGGGGCAAGCAGGTCATTGTACAAGGGAGGAAAGGGGGTCCTACCCCCATTATCACTAGTCCATTCTCTGGTGACAAGCATGTGTCCATTTATCAGGGTGCTGCCTGTATGACCCAAACATCTCTCACAATGTTTTGTGCATCTTCTACCACTTAGCCCTGCCACCCTGAAGAATGGAGTCTCCAACACCTGAACTCAGGGAGAGTACTCAACATTTGCTTTCCCCATCAGCCCTTCTTTTAGCTGCTTCAACTCTTCACATTTGTACTGGTCACTAATGTAGTTGGGTTAAAATGCACTTGCTCTCTGTTTCTCTGCCTCTCCTTTTCTACATAAAACTGAGCACCTTTTTGTTATTTCATCTATTCTATAACTGTTTTACCCCTAAAATTGTAGTGAGTTTCCAACATACATTTTACAGTCATCCAAATCTACTTTCAGATGTTTTACCACTTTATGAGTAATTTATTGGAGTCTCTAGAAGTTTGTTCCAATTGCCCCACTTACTTGTGCTGTTATATAATTTTGCTTCTCTGTGAATTATAAATATATTAGGGCTATTTTTTTTTAAATATTTATCTTTTAAAGCAAGTGAAAAATTAGTTCTTTCATCATTTTATCACTTTTTTTTTCTATTTCAAGTCCTCTGTATAGATGGAAATTTTGAATATGTCATCTTTCTGCCTTAAGAGCTCCCTTTGACATTTTTTGTAAACTAAATCTGGTGATGTTGGATGAGTCTTTCTTGTCCATTTAAAAGGGCATATTCACTTAACACAGCATTCATCTTGGACAGTTTCGTCTGTTTTGTTTTGTTTTTAACTCTTTTCACATCCTATTCTGTTGTCTTCTTCCATGGTTTGTGACAAGACATTGGCTCTGGTTTCATCCTGCTTCCTGTTGCTAACATGTCTTCTTGCCTCTGGCTGCTTATACGATTTCCTCTTTGTCTTTGATTTTTCAATAGTTTGAATATGGTATACCCAGTTTTAGTTCTTGTGGGTTTTTGTTTTGTTTCATTTACTTTGTTTTGTGTTAATCTCCAAGTTTAATGGTTCTATTTGGTGCCTGACAGTAATTTTTGGAAAATTCTCAGTCATTATTTTTTCAATTATTTGTTTTACCCATTTTCCTCTTCTTGATGGATTCTAATTTGATAGTGTCCCACAGCTCTTTGATATCTGTTCTAACAACCTCCTCAAGTTCCCCTTTTGTCTTCAGACTTCAGTCTAGGTAAGTCCTACTGACCTATCTTCAAGTTTACTGATTCTTTCGTCTGAGTAATGTGAGGTATATTCTTGAGTCTTTGAAAGCCAATCTTTATTTAACTTGGAAATATTCTTGCATTTCCATTTATTTTTATATGTTCCATGTCTCTTCTAAAATTACCAATCTGTCTTGTACATTGTCTACCTTTTTCATTAAGCCTCTGGTGGTGTTTATCACGAGTTCAAAATTCTGTCAGATAGTCCCAACACTGGTATCAGATCTGAATCTGGTTCTAACAATTACTTTACTTCTTTGCACTGTGTGAAAAGTCAGCCTATATCCTTAATGAATAAAATATTGTTAAAATTTTCATTTACTTCAGGTTCCTGATCCTGTCCTTATTTAAAATTTTGACATTTTATTCATCATGAATTTTTGTTAATTTAATTTTTTTAGCTTTGGTTGTTAGTCTTTTAAAAAATATTTTATTTAGTATTTTTATTTCATGTTTATGAGTGTACTGTCAACATGTGTATAAGTGCACCCATGTCATGCAATGCCCATGGAGGTCAGAAGAGGGTGTCGGATCCGCTAGAACTGGAGTTAGGGACAGCTGTTATCTGCCATGTGGGTGCTGGGAATTGAACCCAGGTCCTCTGTAAGAGCAATCAGTGCTCTTAACTGCCGAGACATCTCTCCAACCCTTAATTTTTAAACTATTTCATTGAACATCATTTTTCTATATCACTGGGCTTCTCTTAAATTTTGTGCTTGAGGTTGGTAAGTGTCTCTCTTGCTCTCTACATCTTAAAGCTAAAAATTGAAATTTTAACAAATTAGGGACTGGAGAGATGGCTCACCGGTTAAGAGCATGTACTGCTCTTGCAGAAGACCTGAGTTTGGTTCACAGCACCCACATTTTGTGGCTTACAACCTTCTTTAACTCCAGCTCCAGGAAATCTGACACCTTTTTCTGGCCTCTATGGGAACTTACACTCACATGCATGCACACAGACATATATGGAATTTTTAAGTAATAAAACAAAAAAATTAATATTTTAAAATAAAATTTACATTTTTTTTATTTTATGTGTATGAGTGTATTGCCTGCATATGTGTAAGTGCAGCTGTGTCGTGCAGTGCCCAAGGAAGTCAGAAGAGAGTGCCGAATTCCCCTAGAACTGGAGTTAAAGATGATTGTTAGTTGCCATGTGGGTGCTGGGAATTGAACCCAGGTCCTCTGCATGAGCCAGTGCTCTTAACTGCTCAACCATACCTCCTGCCCCTTAAAGAAATTTTAGTAAATTATATTTAAACACATGAATATAAATTTGGGATAATATTTGGGAAATTTGGGCACGAATATCAATTTGGAAAATTTGGGCATAAAAACATTCTACAATTTTCTTTCAGATGAAAATCAGTAAAGCCCATAACTTTGAGTCAGATTTGGGGAAACCTCTGTGTGGCAGAGTTTTTTTTTTCATCTTCTGCAACAGAAACTTTATACCAGTTAAAAAACAATTTCCCATTTTCCCCTTCCCCAAACCCCTGGTAATGTCAATTTCATCGTCTGCCTTCATGTGGTGGATTGCTGTAGATGCTTCATGTAAATGGAATCATGAAGTAGTGGTCCTCCATGGCTAACTTGTTTCACTTAATATCCTGTTCTTTTTTAATAAATATTTTATTTATTTATTATTATTATTATTTTTAACAGAACATAGAGTAGGGGTTTATTTACAGAACAGTGGGTGCCCCACATTTATGGGTGCACTGTAAAGTCCACATTCAAACACAGATCCTGTATGGGATGGGAGAGGTGCCTTTTGATGTTCTCAGCTTATATATCCTTTGCCCCTCCCTCCTCAACTCCTTGATGAGCATGGGAAGGAGGTGTAACTATAGCTTGCCAGCAGAGTGGTCAGAGGACATTTCCTGTTAACACTCCACCCCTTCCTCTGGCTCTTACATTCTTTCCGCCAACCTCTTCACAAAAGTCCCTGAGCCTTTGAGGGGGTGGTAGGTATGGGTGATCTTCCCCACATTGTGGCAAGGCACTGAACTTTCGGGTTTCTGCATCATCTGTTTTCCATAGGCTGCTGGCCAATTTCAGTGGGATTCCATCTACTACAAAAACACACAAGAGCAAGAAGCAAGAACATCTAAACAGTGACTGCTATAATAACTTAACCTATGGGTGTAGACACAAATCCTTGGTTGGTACTTTAGCAGGTACCTCATTTCCATCTTAACAAAGCAACTGGAGTGACTTCCCACTGGGGCCTATATTCTCCCCTGTGCAACATTCTTTACACAGAGAGTTTATGTGAGACTGTGCAATATAGTAAAGGGCCTCTCTAAATCCCCATGTGAAGATTCAGCTAGGAGCAGCTTACATTTTTTAAAGATTATGCATTAGCTGTCATTTGAATGCAGTCAAAAAGGCCCGTTTTCCATAGTAAAGAGTGCCAGGCACTGGCAGGTCTGCCCATTGGGGAACCTACATATTCATTCTCACCAAGAACCACCTGATAGTGTCCAGCCCTTGAAAGGCTCTAGTTTTGAAGGAAGTACTCAGATAACACCTCCCAAGATACTGCCAGAGGGAGAAGGCAGGACAGAGAGCTGACACCAAGGATAGCCCTTGCTGTCCCTTCACTCTGACAGTGTGATGTGGGCTAGCCCTCTCTGCATGGTGGTCATCATGCTGACGCCTGCAAGGACCTGTGTGACTGTGTTCCCCCACAGCTCAGGAGATCGTGCTTTGAACATGTGTAGCTGTTTTCTTTGTCTACATTGCTTTAGCACTGTCAGTCTCACTGTGATCACCTCCCATTAACTTTGCACTAGGAAAGGCTCAAAGACACAGAAGTTTGTTTTTTTTGTTTTTTGTTTTGTTTTGTTTTTTTTTAAAGCTTCTATACACCAACACTTGTGAGAAAGCTGCAAAGAAAAACTGAAACACTTCCTTAGAGTCTTAGGAAGCTAATCCTATGGCACAGGCTGAAAGTCTGTGCTTTGATCTGGTCTTCACCAACCACTGCAGTTCCAGGCACAACTCTGAGGGCTACAAAACAACTCTCCCTACCTTCTAGCCACAGTCAAGTAGCAAGGCTCTCAGTCTAAAACGAGGGTGGGGGAGTGGGGCAGCCACATGATCAGGAGATTTTAGGGAGTGCAGTTAATATTGCCTGTGTCCTTAAGTGCTGTTCTCCATTGTTAAAAGCTTGAAGGACACACTACGGAAACTGATAAGCGCTTAGCTTGCCCCAGGATTGACCTTTGGTGACTGAATCCAGCTGAAGAGAGATGCTGGTAGTATAGATCACAGGCACAGAGCTTAGGTTTTGCTTTGGATTTAGGTAA